ATAATTTATTGAAATATACTATGTTTTAATATTAAACTATATAAATATAAAGAAGAAAAGTAAATTTAATTTGAAAATCAATGAAAAAAATAGTAAATTTAAAAGTATAAGAAAGTTATTTAAGAATTTATAATATAATTAAAATAAAATATGATTATTATTATTTTAGAATTAATACTTCAAATAAACTAAAAAATAATTTAAGAAATTTTTTTTTTTATTAAAATTTAAGTATTTGAAACTTGAAGATTAAATAATGTTTAAATATCTAAAAATATATGTTTTTTATTTAATTAATTTAAAATTTAATATTTTTTTTATCTTATTAAATATAAAATATTTATATTTTTGTGTATATAAATTTATTTTTTATATTATTTAATTTATTTTTTTAAAAAAAAAAAATTAAGTAAATTTATTTTTTAATGAATTATAATAATTAAAATATTTTAGAATAAAATGCGTAAGAAACTTTAAAAAAAATTTCTTCTGAGGAAAATATGTTAGTAGAAAATTAATATTTAGATAATTTTAATCGTAGATAAATTTTTTAAAATAAATAAGATACATCAAAAATTAAATAATAATAATAAAATAATAATTAATAAAGAATATATAATTAAAATAAAATAGTTTAAAGATAAAATAAATAATTTTAAAAAGATATTCGATCTGTTAGCTTTAAAAATTAAAATGAAATAAATAAAAATAATTCTTTATAAAATTTTAATGTAAGAAACATTTATTAAGAATTCAGAAAATTAAATTCTATTTAAAAAAAATCTAATTAATAAAAAAATGACTATTATAATTTTTAAAAAAAAATAAAACTTTAAGCTTTGAAAATATAAAATTTTTAATGTTTTCATAATAATAGTAATTCACAATTACATAATATTCTAAATAAATAAAATAAAAAAATAAATATAAATGAAATTAAATAAAAAAACAAAAGTTAATTAAATAATATGAATAAAACATTATATTTTTAATAATACAAACCAAAAAATATTTTATTAAATTAACAATTAAATGAAATAATTGTTGAATCTAACAAAAAAGTAAAAAAATCATATATATTAATATATATTTTTTAAAATATAAAAAAAGTCTTAAAGTAAATTAGATAAAACAAATAATTATTTAATATAATATAATAAATAAAAAACAATTAATAGTTTAAATTATTCTTAAAATATACTTGAAAAAGATGAAATTATTTATAATGATAATAAATAAAGATATTTTTAAAATTAAACTTTTTATTAAAAATATTAATAATAATTTTAATAATATTATAAATAATAATAATTAAAATAATAATAATAATAATAATAATAATAATAATAATAATAATAATAATAATAATAATAAATTAATGATAAAACTATACATGTATGATAATTTAAAATTTTAGTTTTTTAAAGATTTTTAAATTTTAATAACGATTGTATTATAAAAATATTAAAAATGATTATTTAAAAAAGTTATTAAATATTTTTGACTTAATATTTATAAATAAAATAAATCTAAAATATATCAAATTTTTATTTTACTTGAATTTTTTTAAATTTTTAATCGAATAATTTTATTTAATTTATTATTATTAATTAGTTAATAAATTAAAATTTCTCTTTTAAAAAAATAAAATAAAATATAATAACAATTTTTTTATAAAAATTTTATTTATTTTTAATTATTTATATAATTTATTTTCGATTTATATTTAATATTATAAATAATTTAGATATAAACATTTTTCTAAAATATCAACAAAATATTTTTTTTTTTTCTTAATTATATTATATTCAAAAAAATTATTTACAATTATTATTAAATATATTTAAATCAGTAATATAATTTAAATTTGTAAAAATTAAATATTAAAAGTAATAATATATAAAATAAAAATTAAATACATTTAAAACTAAACTAATAAAAAATACCCCATAATACTTAATTATAAATAAATGTAAAATAAACTTTTCATTTGATGTTTCTAAATATCATCATAATAGTATTCCAAATAAAATATTACCAATAACAAAAGCAAAGATTCCTAAATAACTATTATATTATTAATAATTGTTTTAAACCTAAAGTAGAATTCTATTAGGCATATTTACTTTCATGCAGTCATTTCCAAATTATTTAGATCCTATAGGACATTATGCCCAGCACTTATTTGAATATAAAAATTTTTTTATCTTCTGGACAACGAGTACAATTTTCATCATAAATTGCACAACTTTAACAGTTTTTGGAACATTGGAATCACGTATTAGAATTTTAGTAATATCCATTAGGACACGATTCAACACAATTTCCCTAATAAATTAATTTTCCAGAAATACATTTGACACATTTATTTTCTAAGCAAGATACGCAATCTTATAAATTACATTATAATACATTTTAATTTTATCTTTCGTTATTATTATCTTAAAATTATGAATGATTACCTTCTTAAATACATATTTTTTAATATGTTACAGAATCAATAGATTATTTTTTATCACATTTACTAACGCATTATCCATTATATAAGAAATCTAAAGGATTTTAACATCTCAAGCATTTCTCTCCTTATTCATTTTATTCACATATTAAGCAATTAGAATTGGCTTCACTACAAGAGTAAATAGGATTTCCTTTTAAAATATTACTATTTTATGTAGTAGTAACAGTAGTAACTGTTTACCCATTAATTGTAGTTGTTAAAGTCTCTTAATATGTAGTATATCCTCTATTTGTAGTAAATTTTCTTCTAGACGTATCAGAAGAATTAACTCCTGAGTCTATTTTCACACATAATCTTCTGGAAAAGTTTAATTAATATCCAGAAGCACATACAAAACATTAAAGACTATCGCACTTTACACAATTAGCTATTTTACTCGTGCAATTTAAACATTTTTATGATATGAAATCAATATAAAATCCATCTATACATCTTTTACATTCTCCAAATAATTAACTACAATCTAAACATTCGATTTAACATTCTTTTATGTTTCCTCCTGATGCATTAACACCTGTATCAGAGATTTTTTAGCATTATTTTAGAATATAATTATATTAAAATCCAGTAGTACATTAAATACATATATTATCTATACAATTTAAACAATTACTGAATTTACTGCTACAACTAATACAATTTCTACTTATATAATCATGATAAAAACTATCTAAACATTATAGACACTCACCGAATTAAGTACATTATTTACATCCCTAAGAGCATGCTTATCCAGTATTTTCACCTGTATCAGGTATTTTTTAGCATTATTTTAGTTTCAAATCATATTAAAATCCAGTTGTACATTGAATGCATATATTTTCCATACATAGAGAACAATTACTAAAATTACTACTGCAGCTAACACATTACATACCTATATAATCTAGATAATAGCTATCTTAACATTATTAACATTCCCCAAACGAACATAATTTACATCCCTAAGAGCATTAATAATTAGAGATTTATTAACATTATTTCACAATAAAATTATATGAAAATCCAGTTGTACATTAAAGGCATATATTATTCCATACATGTTAAACAATTACTGAATTTACTACTGCAACTTACACATTATTTACTTACATAATCTAAATAATAACTATCTTAACATTATACGCATTTTCCAAATGAACATAATTTACATCCCTAAGAGCATGCTTATCCAGTATTTCCACCTGTATCAGGTATTTTTTAGCATTATTTTAGTTTCAAATCATATGAAAATCCAGTTGTACATTGATTGCATATATTATCCATACATGTTAAACAATTACTGAATTTACTACTGCAACTTACACATTATTTACTTACATAATCTAAATAATAACTATCTTAACATTATACGCATTTCCCAAACGAACATAATTTACATCCCTAAGAGCATGCTTATCCAGTATTTCCACCTGTATCAGGTATTTTTTAGCATTATTTTAGTTTCAAATCATATGAAAATCCAGTTGTACATTGATTGCATATATTATCCATACATGTTAAACAATTACTGAATTTACTACTGCAACTTACACATTATTTACTTACATAATCTAAATAATAACTATCTTAACATTATACGCATTTCCCAAACGAACATAATTTACATCCCTAAGAGCATGCTTATCCAGTATTTCCACCTGTATCAGGTATTTTTTAGCATTATTTTAGTTTCAAATCATATGAAAATCCAGTTGTACATTGATTGCATATATTATCCATACATGTTAAACAATTACTGAATTTACTACTGCAACTTACACATTATTTACTTACATAATCTAAATAATAACTATCTTAACATTATACGCATTTCCCAAATGAACATAATTTACATCCCTAAGAGCATGCTTATCCAGTATTTCCACCTGTTGTTTCTCCTGATGGATTTTCTTCACATTATCTTTTAGTTTTATTAAATTCGTATCCATTTATACATTTATTACATTAGTTTTCATCACAGGATATACATTAAGAAAATTTAGAAGAACATTTAGTACAACCTTTATTATTATAATTAATATAATGATCATCTAAGCATTTATTGCATTAACTTTCATTGCATTATTAACATCCTATAGTGCAATTTTCGCATTTTTTTTATATACCAGAATAATAACTACTATCAGGGCATTTATCTACACAACTACCATCAATACTTACTAATTTACTTCCCTCGCAAACAAAACACTAGGATAAATTATTAGGATTACATTAAGAACAATATTACTTACATAAAGTACATTTTCCATTTAAACCTAATCTAAATTGTTTAGCAGTATCACATTATGAACATGTATTTGAATTATTTTATTAAAGGCATCCTAACTAAAGTTTCTCACAAGCTTAAGTTTATTAGTTTTCAAAATATCCTAAAGGGCATTAACTTTAACACTCCTTATTATCACCATTCAAGAAAAAACCTTTTTTGCAAGAATTACACAAAGGAGAATTATCATATTCACAAGTTTCGCAATTTCCTTTACATGTTTTGGATAACTATGTCTAGCAAATACCCAAAGTATAATTAGGTGAAAATCCTTAATTCTAATTACAATTATCTACACACTAATTTCCTTATAAAAATGTCATAAACTAACACCTAGTACATTCATTAGCTGATGGTCCTGTACATCTAGAACAGTTAGCATCACAAAGTTCGCATTTCCCAGCCCTTCCGAATAAACCTAAGGGACAGTCTTATTTGCAAGTATTATCTGGGTTCAAAAATTTACCTGAAGGACATGAGCTTCCTATACAAGTTGCATTATCTACTACACCGGAGCATTTTATAGAACAATCAACTCCTCCGAATCCGGCTGGGCAGATACATTAACCTTTTACACAAACTCCTTTTTCGGAACAGAAATTTGGACATATAGGGGTATAATTACAGAATCTTTTATAATCTTAAGGACATGTGATTTAGCCTATAACTTTTTGGCCGGTTTTATCGATGTCCTTTTTTAGTCCTTAATCTTCTTTTTCACATATAACTTATAATTAACTCTCGGGGAAAATAACAATTATTTGAAAGGCATCGGGGGAACATTTAAATTAATGACATCTGAATAAATCTGAATAAATATATTAAGATGATGATTTTACAGCTGTAGACTAGAAGCATTTGCTTTGAGTTGAATAATTAGATAATTTATCCTATTCTTGCAATTTTTAATTTTTATCAAGTACACTATTAGGGTTTGTGCATAATCTATTTGAATAAGGGGATACTATAGCACATCCGTCTGCAAATTAGTCAGGTCTGCCAATACCGATTCCATCATATTCAAACGAACATTAATTTTCATTATATTTTTTAGGATATTCAGGGTATTCGGTTGTACTTTTGCAAGCGTTTTCTAGGAAATCGCAACCTTTTCCTTTTCCCCAGAATATATCATCAGCCATATTCTCATTTACTTCAGGGTAAAAACCTGTATCTTTCAAAAGAGCAATTGTAAATATAGAAAAAACACTATCAGTACTTACTGAAGCACCAGTCATCATTTCATTATAAATAACAGTTCTTTCCCAATGAGAACCAAATGAACCTGCACCACCCTAATTTATATATATTTTTTTTAATATTTAAGTATATAAATATTTTTTTACTTCATTTTCTATTTACATTCCTTCAGCTGTAGGACAATTATAATATTTTCTAGTAACTTCTAATACGTTTTTGGAAGTTAAAAGAGCGGTTTATTTTCCTCTATAGATTTTTATTTTTTACAATTTTTCTTTATTGTTAGGTCCATAAGGTTTTCCAGTATCAGGATCTATCCAATAGTACATAGCGCTTCCTGAGAAACCAAGTACATGTAAAATTTCATGAACAGTTGTTTCCAAATCATTCTCGAAAACTTCAGGATCTCCTCCAAATTTAAACATATTCGATAAATTAAAATTAACTCTTCCATAAGTAGGTCTAGGTATTCCTACATCAGCCATAGCACAAAAACCGGCATTTGCAAGCATACCACTATTTTATTTAGTATAAATGACGTATAAATGTAAATCAGAATTAGGAACTCCTACTATTTAATCATTTTAAGGGACTTAAACTTATAGACATTCTGGAGACCATCCTCTGGGGAAAATGTTATTTCCTTTTAATGGGTATACTTTCAAAAGTTTTTAGAAATAAAGTTTGGATGCTTCCATAATATTTATTAAGTAGTTTTTTTATTATTATGTTATTCCTAAGCCTACTTTATCTATCGTGGAATAATCTATAGTTATTCTTATAGATTCTGCCTCGCTATTTGTTTAAAGAATACGTTATTTATGGGTTGATTTTTCAATTTCTTCGTAAGTTTCCTACATTTTCTAATAGTGGTCTTACATTTCTTTACTGTCGTGACCGCATTTACGGTTAGAATGGGTAAATGTACCTAATATTAAGATACTAATTAATATTACTGTATTTAGCATTTTTTTTTATTTATATTTTTTTATTTATTAATTCTTTATATGTGTAAATTTTAATGTATAGTGTTTATATTAATATTTAATTTTTATTTTATGGTTATTTTAAAGTGTAAAATTAAAAAAAAAATTAAATTTGCAACACTAATATTTTGTTTAAATTGAATAATATGCTAATGGATTATAAATTTTGGGTAATTTGATAATATTAATTTCTACAGTATTTTTAATTGTCTCTATTTTTTTTATTATTTTAATATGAAGCTAACTAATATTATGTAATTGAAAATTTTATATAATTTTGCTTGAACAAATATTTTAATATTACATTCCTATATGAATATTTTTTTTATAATTACAAAATTATATTTCATTTAAAATATTGAAAATTAAAATTTTAATAATTTATTTAATATGCCTATTAATTTTTCAAACTAGATTAATTATATTTCCTCTTCTTTTTTCTTTATAATTATTATTATTTTCATAAGTCACTCTTAGAATTTTTATCCATAAAATCAATATTCTGAAGTAAATTATTATTATATCAATAATAAATTCAAATTTAAATATTTATTAACTTTAAAATTATAATTATTAGAAATACCTTCGTATGGTAATAAATAAAAATAATTTAAATAAATTAAGTCAAATATGCATTAATATTTATTAACATATAAATTTGTATGATATATAACATATTAACATATTTATTTCATTAATTAAATTAAATATATTATTAATTACAATATATTAATATAGATTTTTAAATTCAAGTTTTGCGTTTAGTCTATTAAAAGTAGAAGATGAAAAAATCAACAAAATTATACTTAATAGATAACAAATAAGACATCTATATGCTTTAAATTTGCATTCATAGTAATTTTTTTCTTCAGAAATATTTTTTAGATTAGAATTTAAATTATATTATATATAAATTAAAAACCCAGAAAACCTATAAATTAAAATACATAATGATTTTTAGAGTAATCTTTATCATATATATACTCATTTAAATAGTTATATGTAGCATAAACTAAAAAAAAGAGTTATAATAATATATAGACTAAAAAAAAATAATATAATAAAGTAAAAAAAAAATAGCAATAATTTATTTATATAAGTCAATTTATATGATAAAGTTAAAAAAAAAAATTATAAAATAAAAAATGAGTATTTAAACATATAAAAAATAGAGGAAAAATAGATCATTAATAAAATTATATTGAATAATAAAATTAAAAAAATATATTTTAAGTTTGAAACCTAAAGGTTATGATATAAATGTAATAAATATATTGAAGAAAAAATGATAAAAAAAAAATTAAAGAATAAATTTAAATAAATTAGAAAAACATTAATAAAAAATAAAAAAGTAAAAAGGAATGATGGATTATTTTAACTAATTATTATAATTAATAAAATATTAAATTTAAAATAAATATGTATATGTATATATATAAAATAATATATATATATATTATATATATATTTAAATATAATTATATAAATATATATATTTTTTTTATAAATATACTATTCTCCAATATATAATATTATTATTAAAAAACAAACTAATAAATATTATTAATAATTATATATTAATTATTTTCTTAAGTTTACTAAATAATCACTTTCAAAGAGATTTAACACTTCCTTTAAATTCTGTAATATTACCTTTTCTTTCATTTGAGAAATCATTACCACCTCCTTTAAATTTTTATATTATATATATTTTTTATTTTTATAAAATAATTTTAATATTACTTCCTCCAAAGTTTCCTCTACCACCTTTATTAAAATTATTACCTCCTCTATTAAATCCACTATTTCCTCTATTAAATCCGTTGCCTCCTTTTCCTCCACGTCCACCTCCATCATTATTCTTCTTGCTGCGACATCGACTTTTACTGTCTTCCTTCTAATTAAGATCCTGCTCTTTTTAACGCGTTTTCGACACCTGATCTATCTTTGAATTCTACATGACCGAAACCTCTACTTTACCGTCTTATTAAGCGATTCTTGCATCAACAATATTGCCGCAGTCTTTAAAGAATTATTTTAAGGTATTAGGATCAGCTGAATAAGGTAAATTTCCTACAAAAATAGTAGTCGATTCATCATCAACAGTTCCTTAAGCTTATGATTAGAATCCTGCTCTATCTTATTTAGGTTTAGTTTTTTCTATTTATAAGCTTCTATTCATAAATGAAATACCAGATCCTTCAACAGCTTTATTAACTCCTTCTTCAGTTTAGAAACTTACAAAAGCGAGACCTTTTGATCTTCCGTCTTCATTTTTTAATAAATTAACTCTGGAAACTTCACCAAATTATTCTTCAAGGAAATTACCTATATCATTTTCATCAGCATCAAAAGAAATACCTTTAATAATGGCTTCATTACTAAAAGCTCCTTTATTTTATTATGGAGCTTATTATTATTTAGGTTATTATTACTAAGCTACTTCAGTAGAGATTTTTTTAGAAGGAATTTTATTTTTTTATTATTATTCTTCGGTTGATGATTCAGCATCTTCTTCTTCATCATCATCTTCAGATGATGCTTATTTAGCGACAGGTTTAGTCACAGCCTTAGTAACAGTCTTAGTTTATTTCTTTGTTTATTAAACTTCTTCGGAAGATTCTTCTTCTTCATCAGAAGAGTCTGAAGAAGGTACTTTTTAACCATTTTTTTTACCTACTTAAGCTACAGGGGCAACAGTAGTAGTTTTTTTGGTTTATTATTAAGTTTTTTTTACTGGTTTTTAGGGAGATTCTTCTTCATCCATTGAAGAATCTTCTGAGGAAGATTCTTTTTGGTTTATTATTTAGTCTATGTTTTTTATTAAGTTTTTTATTATACAACAACAGGCTTTTAAACTGCTTTAGTTTATTATTTAGTAGTCACAACTTCAACAGAAGAATCATCATCATCAGAAGATGTTTCGACTTTTTTTACTACTTTTTATTATTTTTAAGCGACAGCAATCGCGGGTTTTTAGGCGACTTTTTAAGAGGCTTTTTAAGATTATTATTAGGGTTTTTTAACAGGTTATTAGGGAGTGGAGTCTTCTTCAGAAGAGTCAGATGATGATTAAGGTTATTATTATTTTTAGATTTTTTATTATATCTTTTGGTCAGCTTTTTATACTTTCTTTTATTATACAACTTAGGCCTTAACTGGAACTTCATCTTCAGATGAGTCTGAGTCAGATGATGAGTCAACAGGCTTTTTTTTTAATTATTTATTTATTTGTATATTTATTTTGTTTTGTTTTGTTTTTTACTTTTATTGCCTTTTCTTATTAAAGCTTTTATTTTTTTTAGAGTTTTTAGTCTTATTTTGCCATTTTTGTTATTTTTATACTGAGTTTAATTTGTTTTTATTTTTTGTATTTTTTTTATTATTTAAATAAATTATAATTAATTGAGTGAAATATATTAATTATTTATATTCTTTTTTTTTTTAAACTAGAGACTAAATATATAAATCGATTTTAATTTTTCTTATTTTTAACTCTACTTTATTTTTATATTATTTGTATATTTAATCATTTTAAAATACAATATATATACATATATATATGGATTTTTTATTTTATTAAATAAAAATCTAATACTAACTTCCTATATAAATAAATAAAAATTATAAATGTTTTCAATATATTATTTGCTTTATTTATATTTTTTTTCAACTTTTAAATATAAAAAATGAATTAATTGTCTAATTAAGAATTTTATAAATTTCATTTTTTTAATATTTTTTATACTAATTAAATAATATCAATTTATTTTTTATTAAAAATTATATATAAATGTGAAAAATTTTATAATATAAATATTTTTTTTGACAGATTGAACAACAATTTAAATTATTAAACTGAACTTTATCTAATAAAGCAAAAACATTTAAATAAAATTGATGGTTAATATTTAAGTTTTCAATATTTTTTTAAATTCAAATAGACATAATTTAAATTATTTAAATATATTAAAAAAAAAAAAAAAAATTAAAAATCAGAATATAATAAATGATATGAAACTCTTTATATATATATAAATAATTTTTAAATAGCAAGTTAACTTCTTAAATAATAAAAAATATAATAATTTAACTATTACATATACATTATTTTTAAAATTTTAAAAGGAGAAATTAAAAAGAAATTAAACTTTTTATTTATTTAATGAATTTATAAAATAAAAATAAACATTAAAAAATAAATATTTTTCCTAAATGGATTTATTCAAACTTATATAATATACACATTTTTAAACAATTTATATGAACTTTTAATACGTTTAATTTTCATTTATATAAATTATTTTTATTCCTATAAATAAAAATACTTTTACTTATTTTAAGTAGATATTAAAAGGAGTTAATATAAAATTATAAAGTATATTTAGAAATAAATATATAATAAATTAATAAATAATAATAATAATAATAACTATTTTTCACAATGCATAAACAATTGATTTTTTAATTTAAATTTTATACATATTCTTTTTTTTTTTTAAAAAAAAAATAATTTTTGTATTCAAAATAAATAGTTATTTTTATCTTTTTTAAAAATCTTTTTTTAGAATAATATATTTGGTTCCTCAATATTATAATTATTTTTGATTTTTTTTTAATAAAATAAAATAATATATATTTATATAAAAATAATTATTATAAAATTTTAAATTTATATTATATTTATTATAAAATATTTATTATAAAATATTTCGATTATTTATATTAAAATATATTTATATTTTTTAATATTTTGATGAATTAAAATTATTGTTTAAATTTTTGTTTTAATATATTAATTTATTTATTATATTTTTAAATATTAAAATTAAAAATTACAAAATACAAATAATAATGATATGTAAATAATAATTTATTATATTAAATTAAAATAATAAAAAATTAAAATAAAAAAATAATCTTTTAAAACATTTTTAATTTTTAGAGTAAATTAATAAAAGAAAAAAACTATTAAAAATACATTAAAGTTTTATTTTATAAAAAAAAAAATATATATATATATATATATATATATGATTATACATATTTATTTATTTTATTATGTATATATATACATATAATAATCTTACAAAAAAAAATATTCTCAAAGAATACTAAAATCTTTTTTTTTTAAATAAATATATTTATATTTAAAATTTATATATATATTTATATATAAAATATAAAATAAAACTCAAACATTAATAAATTGTTATTTACCAACAAATTTCAACAACAGTCTTTTTTTTTCTAACTTTATTCATTATTATTAGTATTAATATCAAATTATTATCCTTATCCATATGGTTTAAATTTCTTTTTTTCCTCAGGTTTGTTTTTCAAATTATCATATATTTCTAATCAAAAAATAAAAATTAATATACATAAAAGTTAACTAAAATAATACCTCTTGTAACCCTCTAAAAAGCCTCATCTACATTAGTAGAATCTAATGCTGAAGTTTCAATATAAGCAAGTTAATTTCTTTCTGCAAAAGCACTTGCATCTTCAGTTTTGACTGCTCTATTTTCATTTAAATCACATTTGTTTCCTACTAACATAATTACAATATTTGGATCTGCATTTTCTTTTAATTCATTTAACCATTTTTATAAATTATCAAAAGTATTCTATTTAGTTATATCGAATAATGTTAAAGCACCTACTGCTCCTCTATAATAAGCATTAGTTATTGCTCTATACTTTTCTTATCCTGCTGTATCCCATATTTAAGCCTTTATTAATTTGTTATCGTTCAATACAGTTTTGGTTGCAAATTCTACACCTATTGTTGGCTTTGATTCTATACTGAATTCATCTTTAGTAAAACGGGATAATATATTTGTTTTTCCTACACCTGAATCTCCTATATTTATTTATTTATTTATTTTTTTAAATGTATTTTTCAAGTTTTTTTATAATGATTTTAATGCTATTTTATGAGTTTTTTATTGTTTTTTATTTTATTTTTTCATTATTTTACCTATTATTACAATTTTAAATAAATAATCATAATCTTCTTCTGGTCTTTACATTTTTATTTTATTTTATATATGATTTTTTTTATTTAAATATAATTAATAATTTCTTTTAATAGATTTGTTTCTTTATTAATATATAATACATAAATATTTTTATCTTATTTTATATTAAAATAATTAAATTATAATTTAAAAAAAAAAATCACGAAATATAGTAAATGCTTTGGAAAAAAAAATATATATATAAATAGAAAAATTTATTTAGATTAACTATATTAAAATTCTAAATAAAATAATAATAATATAATTATCAAATATCTTTTAATTAAAAATATAATAAGCATAATAATTATTAATTTTATTATTATTTTTTTCTAATTTAATATCTTTTTTGTTTTTTTTAAGTTATTATATATTTCTAATATTATTATTTTAAGTTAAATATTTCTTTCAAAGCCTTATATAAAAAAATTTGATGTGATTTAAATAATATTTTTTATTTAAGAATTCTTATTGATATTCTTATTTAATTTTTTAAACTTAAAATAAATAAAAATTCTTAAATATATTTAAATTAAATTTCATTATAATTTTTTAAAAAATATTGATTTTTGAAATTCTTTATTTAAAAAAAAAAAATTAATAATTAATTATATATTTATATAACATATATATATATATATTTATATATATATATATAAAATAAAAACTATCAGTTAAATAAAAAATGAATATTGAAAACCTCCAATAATTATTATAAAAAGTGGTATTTCCAAATGTAGAAAAAGGCCCAAAATTATCCTAAAACACCACATTTATGGAACAAAAAGATTTAGATTCCGAAATATCATAATTTCTACCATCTATAAGTTAAAATGATAATAATGAAAATAACCAAAATCATTAAATAGAAAACTAGTAGAATATTCCTTTAAAAAACATAAATTAAGCAATAAATATAAATGGGATAATAATAAATGAAGATTCATATAAAATAAAAAAAAGTAATCCTATAATATATCATTAAGATTTAAATCAAAATAATATATAATAAAAACTATAATATACATTCGGAAGTTTCTAAAATTTAAACGAAAAAAATGAACAAAAAAAATTTGGAAATTCTAAAGTAATTAAAATGGCCGAAAACTATTATAAAAGACTAGAAAACTTTAATAAAAATAATTAAGAAATTTAAAAAAAAATTGCTTTACAAGAAAAGTAATCGAAAAAATCAGTTAATACTATATATATTGATATTTCGGAAATTAATAAGAATAAAAATTTACTTCTTGGAATTGAATCACCTGTAAATATTAAAAATATACATAACTCTTAAGTTTAAAATACTTCTTTTAATATTAGCTAATCAACTATATAAAATTCTAATATAAAATAAGAAAATTTAAAATAATAAAATTTATTATAATAACATTTAAATGAAGATGAAATAAAAAAATAATAAAAATAATATTTAGCTTTTTTGCAAACTCGTATTTAAAAATTAGAAAAAGAAAATTTTTATAAAAAATAAGGATATAGTTTGGAAAAATAATATCATAAAATACATAAAAAATCATTTGAGTTTTTTCCTAAAAAAAAAAATTGATTTTTTAATTTAAATTAATATTTTTTTTTTAATCATATATATATATTAACTATTATTATTATAAAATTATTATTAACTTTAATTTCTATATCTATTTAAAAAAAAAAAAAATCTATTTTAATTATAAAATTTTAAATATAATTAAAATATCATTAGATACATTAATTTTATTCAAATATATATATTTTTCTATAATTAATTATAATATTTATGGCAATTTAAAAAAAAGTTAATACTAATTAATGAAAAAAGGCATTATTTTTATAATATAATAAAAGACCATGATAATAAAATGTATTAAGTAAAACAAAAAATTAAAAAAATAATGATTATGTAAACAAAAAATATATATAAATGTTTTTTTTTATTTTTACAATATTAATTTTTCTTAACATTAAATATTAGTAAATATATGTATGTATAAAAATAATTTATCATTTACAAACTAAAATAAAATAAAACATATATTATCGCAACTAAATTATAAAATTTTAATAAAAAAAATAATATATAAAATATATAAAATATATAATATATATATATATATATATATATATATATATTGAAATATATTAATAAAAAATGCTATCAAATATAACTTATATAAATACAAATTATATAATCGATAAACTAACAATAAGTTAATAAAAAATTAAAAGAATGAATTCTAAAAGTTAAAAAAATATCTTAAATAAAAAATTAATTGAAATAATTGACTAAAATTTATTAGATATTAACAACTATTAACATTCTTAAGTAAAAATATATATAATAACCTTTTTATAATACATATTATATATTTTTAAAAAATATTTTAATAGTTATTCGCTAAACTAATATAAAAAGATTAAAAATATATTTACGATTATAAATTTATTTATAAATTTTTGGATTAATTACTTTTTTTCTAATAACTAAAATAAATGATAAGCTAAGACATATATTCTTAAATTATAAAAAATCTAAAATACAAAGAAATTTAATAATCTGAAATCATATAAATAAACTGTAAAAAAAAAATCAATATTTTAAAATAATATTAATATAACAAAAATAAAAAAAACAAAAAGAATAGTAAACATTAGATAAAAACTTCTATATTATTATATAAGGAGAAGTACTTGAATTTATTTAAGAGAAAAAAATCGAAAACGAATTTTAAGATGAAACTCAAAATAATTTTTATATAGAAAGTAGTTAATCTTCAGTATGTTCTATAACTTCAAAACATAAAACTCCTTCATTTAATTTTATTTCTTCTCGAAAGAATATAAGCATTGATTTTTCTGGAAAAAAATAATTAAATTTATAAAAAAAAGAAAGTATATTATCAACTACAAGTTAAAATAATTAAAAGATATCTAACCATTCATCTTAATTTTTATATAATAATTTTTCTGAAAATCATAATGCTTTAATTGAAACTATAAATCGTAAACTTTAAAAAAGAAGGAGATTAAAAAAAATATAAGAAGCAAATACTAAATAATAATCATTAAATGATCGAAATTCGTTTACTTTTTAAAATTCTTAATCTTCAATTAGAAATAAAATGGAAAATCCGACAGGTATTTTTGATACTAAAAATAATAAAAAATATCTCATGAATGTAATATATAAAAATTTCTTAAATTTTAAACTTACCAAAGTACTTAAAATAGGCGATACTATAGGAGAATTTGATAAATAAGATAAAGATTATAATTCTCAAAGTTATTTGTGTAAAGAAAATGGCTTTTTAATATATCTAAGTTGTGATATTTATTAAAAATTAATTTAAAAATATCACTTTTAGATATAAGAAAAAAAATAGAATTATTATAAACTTCTGCCTTATTTTAAAATTTTTCTAAATAAAAATTAAAAAATAATCTTAAATATTTAACAGAAATTTAATTACCGAAAAATGCTATAGTTTATTAAGAAGATTATAATTCAGATTACCTTTATTATATTATTAAAGGATAAATTGAAATTTCAAGAATTATTAAAAATAATAAATATATCTAAGAAAAAGTAAAAATAATAACTATAAAATTTTTTAAAAAATGTTATTATTTATATGAAATTAATTAAATTTTAATACAAAAAAAGTATATAGATATATAGTAAATAGAAAAAAATATAAGACTATAAATTAATAAATATATTTTTTAAATAATATATATAATTTATAAATATATATATATATATATATATATATATATATATATATTTTTATTTATATATTTATTTATATATTTATTTATATATATAGGATATTAATGAAAACTCTAATTTTTATTAATTATATAATTACTTTATTAAAAATAAATAAATTAAAAGAATTCCTACTATGCTATTAGGCCCTAATTAGTTTTTTGGAGAAAATGAGATTTTACAGAAATAAGAAAGATAAACTTAAGCTTAGGTTGTTTCTAATGATTGTATATTACTTAGATTTCCCGCTTATGTATTTTTTTTTTTTTAATTTTTTTTTTTAAATAAAATATATATATTTTTTTTTTGTAGATTTATTAAAACCATTTTTTAAACAAAGATAATAAAAATACATAATAACATTTAATATTGAGTGATAAAAGAGAATTTGTTCAAAAATAAATTTGCAACTTTGTTTAATAAAATTAAAATAATTAATAAGAAGATTCTTTAGACTATAATTAATAAATATAATACAAATATTAATATTAAAATTCTTAAAACAATATTAATTTTTAAAAGTAAATTATATATTTATATACTTTGATTTTTATTTATTTATTTTCTATAATTATACAAATAAGTAACAGTTTTAATAATATTAAATCTTCCTACATTAAAGAATAGTAATTAAATTAGGAAAAATAATACTTATTTAAAATTGCTGAAAGAAATATAATAGAAGAAAGAAGTTGTAAATTAAAATTTCTTAAAAAATTTAAAGATTAAGTAGCTAATTACAAAACTTTTAAACTTTCGCCTATATATAATCATTTGAAACTTTATATGTAATCGTCTTAGGAAAAAAATATTCCCTTAGAAAAAAATAAAAATAATAAAGTATAAAAAATGCTGGAGTGTATAAAGTAAATGGAAAACTAAAAATAATAATTAAAAAAACAATAAATAAAAATAAGTAAAAATTAATATTTTAATTATTCTTCTATTATAAATAATAAATATAAAACTGAAAACTTTTAAAATTATATTAAATAAAAAAGCATATCTTAAAGCTAGATTATAAAGAAAAAAAAATATATTCAAAATCATAATAAAATTTAAATTATGAAAAAAAAATTAAATCTATTAAAAATATAGCTACTAATTATTATTATAAATAAAATTATAAATTAAATATAGATTCTAATTAATAGAATTAGAAAAATAAAACTTTAAAGAAAAATTGATAAATATAAAAAATATAAAAAACATAAAAAAATATTTATTTATATATTTATATTTATATTTATATTTATTTATTTTAATAAATATTTTTATTATATATATTAATTTATATAATTTTTATATAATTAATTAATGAAATAAATAAAGTAAATATTAAATATAATAATTTAATAATTTAATATTTATTAAATTATTAATTTTTGTAAAAAATTAAAAAATATATTGTATTATTAAAAAATTCCAATATAATAAAAATAGTAATATATTTATTAAAATTAACAGTTTTAAAAATAAATAAATTTAAAAATGAATTTTTAAAGTCCTCAAATAAATTATAATAATTAAATTAATTCCTAAGTAGTACGAGAAATAAATTCAAACCATATAAATGGTAAATAATAAAAAGCGTTGATTTTTTTTTTAAAAAAAAATCTAACAAATTAAAATAATATTGATTATAATTATTTCGAAATATTATAATTTTTTTTTAAAAAAAAGGAAGTTTACCAAAATATGCTACTTTAGATAGAAAATTAAATTAACATGAATTTATAAATTAAACAATAAAAAATGATCCAAATTTAAGTAAATAAAAATACGCTTATATTACTATATTTTTTTCAAACAAAATAACAAGTTGAAAGGCATTCTAATTTAAATTTAAAAATGAGAAATCCATTATTTCATGAATTTCATTATTAAAAATATGCCGAACCACATTATTAAGCTTAAAATTAAATATAAAAATAAGAAAACTACAATGCGAAAGATTCACTAGATTTATTTACAGAAAATTACGAAGCAAGAAAAAGAATCTCAGAAAAATTCAAAAAGGAAATAATTTAATGAATTATGATTTAAATACATAATATAAATAAAATTTACCTAATAGAGAAAATAAAAGTTCTAATATTCTTAAATATTAAGATATATAAAATTATAATAATAATTATAATAAAAATATATAAAATTAAACACAAAGTGCTCCAAGTTAAGAATAATAATAATAAATTTAGAAAAATGAAATATTAGTAATATAATAGCCATTAATACACAATAATTAAAATTAATACTAAAATAATATAAATTTATAATAAAATGATTAAATAGAGTAACAAAACTTTAATTAAAACTAATATAATAATAATAAATTATATTATCAGAATTAAGATATAATAAATGAAATATATTAATAACCATAATTATAGAAATAATAGTATTTGTAATATTAGTAATAATAAAAATTATAATTATAGTAATAATAGTAATAATAGTAATAATAGTAATAATAGTAATAATAAAAATAATAATTATAATAATAATAATTATAATAGTAATAATAATATAATAATTAATTTGATTATAAAAATAATTAATATTTAAATTAGAAAACTCGTTTAGTAAAAAATTAATAATATGAATAATAATATAATTATTAAGTTTAAAATGATTAATAAAATATAAATAATAATATATAATAATAGAATTTATAAAATGATAATTATGATAATAATTTAAATGATTATAATTAATAAGAGCATATTTAAAGTAATAACATAATTTCTAATTAATAAAATAATTATAATTAGCCTATTGATAATAATAATAAAAATTTAAATTAAAATAGTATGAACTATAATAATCAATAATAATAATAATAATAATAATAATAATAATAATAATAATTAATAAAATAACAATAACTATAACGAATAATAACACCATATTTCAAAAACACAATAATAAAATTAGTAATTACATGCAAGGACACCTTAAAAATAATTATAATTACCATCAAAAAACTCTTAATAAAATTTAATAAACAATTAAAATGCTTATTAATAACCATAATAAAAATTTATACACCAGGGTAATTATAAATCTAAGAGTAAAATAAAAAAACTAATTATTATTTAATTTATTTTTAATTTTTAAAAAAGGAGAAAAGAAAAAAATATACAATCCTTTAGTATAACAAGTAGGAGCATTATATTAGCCTAAGATTAATTTAAATGTAGATTGGGGTTAAATTTAAAATTTAATTATTTTATTAATAAAATATATTTGTTTAGTTCATTATAATAGAGATTAATTTAAAAATTGGAATGATAAAAATAAACATTATTACAATATTGTGAGAAAAAAAATGAAAAATTATAACATTATTAAGATTATTCAACATGTATATCTAAAAATTATAAAAAAAATTACAAAAATAATAAATATATAAATATATATAATATTTAATTATTTATATATTTATTTATATATTTATACAAAGTTAATAGAGAATACGGTGGATCTCATTTATATTGATTTTTATTATTTAATAAAAAAATTTTTTACAAAAATATTTTTAGGATATGATTATTTTTATATAGAAAAATAATTATTATACAATATTTAATACATAATTTTTTATATATATATAAATATTTTTAACTAATCTTTTTTATTTTATATTTTTTATTTTTTTGTAATAAAATTTTTTTTTTAGACATAATTTATTATATAATTAAATATATTAAAATAAAATTAAATAAAACATATTTTTAAATTAAAAAATAATTATTAAAATTTATTATAATTTTCTTTTTTATACTACATATGATATATATTTTCATATCTATCTAATTTTTAATACATCTGAAATTTTAAAACACATAATAAACAAATAAAATTAATATTTTTTTTTACGGATTATAAATATTATATTTTAACATATTCTAATGTATAATTTATTTTTTAAACTTAAATTTGCAAATAATATATTTTATTCTTTTATTTTTTCATGTAAGTTATTATTTTTTAATATTTTTAATTTTATATTCCATTTTTTTTAAATTTCTTGAATAAAAGGAAACCAAAGAATAATATTAATTATAAAATCAGTATTTATCGTTTTGTCAAGTAAATTTTAATAATCTTCATTATCAATAATTTTGATATGCAAAATTATAAAGTATTATTACTATATATATAGTTTCTATTTATTTTATAAAATATTTTGAATTAAAATATTATAAATTAAATCTCTAATTGATAAATAAAAAAAATAATTTAGGGCATCTTATATATATATAATACTTTGAATATTATTATTAGAGTAAAATATACTTTTTTTTAGTGTTTTTTATTAATTTTTAACTTTTTTTTATAAAGTTAATTTATAAAAGATTAGTAATTTAATTTTATTTAAAATATAAAGAAATTTTATACATAAAAAATATAATGGCTTTATTTTATTTCTAAATTGTAATTATTAATAATTTATAATCATTGTTTTAAAGAATTTGTAAGATATAATAAAATTTTTGACAAAATAATATTTTCTGCTATTTATATTATCTGATTAAAAAATAAAAAAAAAAAATTAATTTTAAATCTATAAAAAAATTAAGTTTAGTTTGAAAATTATTAGAAAAAAAAGTTAAAGTATTTAAAAAATAAAATAAAAAAAAAAAAATTAGAATAAAATAAAACATATGTTGTATATAAAAAATTAATATAGAAATATATATAAAGTAATAAAAAAATAGTAAAAAAAAAAAAAAATATATTACAATTAGAAAAAATAGTAAAGATTTTAATTATTAATAATAGAAAGTAATAAAAAAAATATATATATATAAAATAAATATATATATATATATATATTTATATTTATTTATATATAAAATATAATTAAAAAAAAAATTATTTATATATTATAAAATTATATAATATATATTTATATATTTATATATAAAATATAAAAAAAAATAAAAAGATATATATCTATATTATATAATAATTTTTATTTCATAATTCTAATCTCATTATTTTTTTCGGAAGCACATACATTTATTTAATAAAGTATTCTTACCAAATTATAATAAGAATATTAAAAATAAGAACAATAACCAATTATTTAACTAAAAATATTTTTTAATTATATAATTCTTTATCAATACTAAAAATACTAATACCAAAAACATCAATAAGTAAATATTATAAAATAGAAAATATAAAAAACATTAACATCCATATAAAATATGTCTTATTTTTATATATTCTTTATTTAAAAGGTAAGGAAGTATAATAGGCCATCGAAGACACTAAAAAGAACATATTAATTGCTAAAAACATAATGCTAATAGCGATGTTTTTATCATTAAATTCATTTCCATTTTTTAAAGATTTTATATCCTAATAAAAATCTTATTGTCTATAATGTAAATAACATCCCAAAAGACACATGATCCTAATACAAACTATCCTATCATACAGAAAGCATTCTCTTTATTTAATAAATTGTAATTAGGTCTAATTTTGGTTAATTTATTTAAAGGCTTACTTAATGAAACAAATGCTAATAAAGGAATAGCAATAAAATAATTTGAATGTACTAATTAAAAGCTAGAATAATAGCTATATTCATAAAGTAATATAATAGATACTGCATATTTAAAAACATTAACAGTAACATAATAATCTATAACATTCAATCATATTTGTTAAAACACATCTCCCTTCTGCTAAAATAATAGGAAGGCAATTAATAGATTTTTTTTAATAAGAGAATGGCGCAGAAAAAGATGCATCTGCTTCACAAAAAGAAACACCTAAATCTGCTTATTTAATAGCAGAACAATCATTAGCACCATCACCTATCATTCCAATTTTTTATTTAAATAAAGTTTAATGCATATAAATAATTTCAGTTTTCTATTCAGGTTTACATCTGGCAAAAACAAAGGTATTTTAGAGAATATCTTTAAGCAATTTTTAATTACTAATTTATTAAATATCTATAAGCATATTTCCAGTAATTACTAACTTAAAATTAATTTACTTATTGTATAATAATGTAGTAATATCAATTTTTTCATCAGGTTTATTTTAATAAAAAGAATCCTAAAGTGAATTGCATATTATAATATTATCTTTACAATCTAATACATAGCTATCTTTTGCGCATTTAACAGTAGTAAAAAGATTATCTCCAGATATAATTTTACAATTAATTCCTGCGTTTTTTAATATTAATATATTTTCTCCGCTATCTTCTTTTATTTTGTTTTCTAAAATTAATAGACCCAAAAAAATTAGATCATTTTCGATTTCTTCTCTTTATATGTTTCTTAAATTTGTATTTTATTATAATTCTTTATATCCAAAAGCAATCACTCTATATCCCAAATTAGTGAAAAAGCTTAATTTTTCTTGATATTTTTAATTATCAAAAGAATTTTTTAAGCAAATTTTTTAGATGACTTCTGGCGAGCCTTTTACAAACGCGTAATTTTTGCCATTTTAATCCTAAACTAAGCACCCCATTCTCTAAAATTAGCTCTCGAATTCCCATTATTTTATCACTTTCAACAGTAAATTATCATTAAAAGCTTCTAACTTACACGTAGAACTTTTCCTGATCTTAAATCCTGAAAATTCAACCATTTTAACATCTAACTCATCTCCCAAATGTTCCCCTTCAACCAAATACACTCCATGACAAGTCCCAAAGGCATATAAAAGAGCTTTTTATTTTTCTTCTTTAATCTAATTAGGCAACTTAGTGATTAACTCACCAATGTTAAAATCGCAAAAGCCAATCACATCCATATTATTTTTGGTCAAAGTGCCTGTTTTATCGAAACACATTAATTTAATTTCACTTGCGACGACTGTTTAAGATGGATCAACAGCAATAATGTGCGAATATCCAAGCCTAACTAAAGCCATAGACTAGCAAATTGCAAAAAAAATAGGCATAGCAGGAGGAATAATCCATGTTATGGCATCAAAAAATCTAAAAATAATCAAAATAACAGTTAAGTTTTATAACATTTTAAAAATAAATATAAAATAAAAAATTACAGAAATTAAAATTATTGATAAAAGAAAATATATTGCTTTTCTATAAAATTCGAATTCAATTGCTTTTGGGTATAACATAGACCTAAATATTTATCCTTTTTAAGTACAAAAACCAGTTCTTAAAACTAATCCTAAAGTCTCTATTTCATCATTTTTTTATATGATTTTAGTTCCTTCATATAATATATGCCTTTTCATATTTTTAAAATTGAATAATTCTAGTTAGTTATCAGCTTATTATATGCATACTTTTGGGATAGGAATCGATTCACCTGTTAAAGAGCTTTCGTTTACTAAAACATCACCTTATATTAGTAATGAATCACATGGAATCGGCATTTTATTTTAATAAAGGAACACATCTCCAGGTAATAATTCTTTAGAGTCTAAAACAATTTACTTACCATTCCTATAAACATCTATTTTAATTGAAATATCTGCAAATTTTCTCAATTTAGTCAACGATAACCTCAAGATTACATAATTAACTATCGCAGTAATCAATGAAGTGAAAATAATGACAATCGCGAACATAATATATCCTTGCACGATCCAAATGGCAATTGAAATATATTAAAAAAGGAAGAAAACTTCCGTCAATACACGTACTAAATATTCTATAAGGGTTGGAATCGGTATATGTATTTTACACAATCCATATTTTTCCTTTCTATTTTAAATATCCTCTTAATTATTTTTAAATTCAACTTTGTGTCTTTAAAATAATTCTTACAAAGTATAGTTTTCCACCTCTCTATAATAAACTGGAATAAATCCTTAATTTATTTCATTATATTCATATTTTAAATGTCTATTTACAAATCCGAAATTATTATATTTAAAATTCTATTTTTTCAGTATTTCATATGTATTATCGTTATTTTTAATCAAAAAATGAGTACATTGTTTCAAGGAATTACTTTAAATATATAGAGATTTTAATCTAAGTCTGACACTGTTTCTTAGTAAAAAAGCATATATTCCGAAACTACATATTATTAGAAATAATGTCAATATTATTTTCTCTATTTTTAATTAAAGGGCGAATATATTTTCGATCATCAACTATCCTTCGATGTCATTTGCAATTATTTTTAGTTAGTTTTTATAATTAATTGTAAGACATGAAACAGTTGAAGACGATTTATTATAATTATATTAAAAGCATTATCTTTAAAGTTATTTTTGATTTAATACATTTGAACTTTCTTTTAAGACAGCTGAATATTATAGATTTACATTAGTATATTACATTATTTTAAAATTATAATTAAAAATAAAATAAATATATATGTTTAATTAATCACATATAAATAGGTTTCCTATTTATTAATAGAGATAAAAAATATTATATTATAATTATAAATAATTTGTGATAAATTTAAATATATATTATATAGCTATTTATTAAATAATTTTTTTTCTTTTATAAATTTTTTTTCTATTTTTTTATTTTTTTTTTTGTATTACTTTAATATTTTTAGATGTATTTTTTTAATTTTATTATTTTATGTCATATAATTATTTTTATTTACTATTTAAAATCATTTTATATTCTTTTATAAATTGTTTTTGTATATTATATTTTTTTATTTTAGTATTTCATTAAAAAATAAATAAATATCTAAATAAAAATATATAGTTTATTATAATTTTTAAATTATTTAAATAAAAAAAAAAAATTATTTCTCAATTAAAGATAAACCTATTTTATTTTATCTTAAAAAAATTATTATAAAATATAAAAACATAAGATTTCATTAAAAAACTAAAAATTATATATCATTTTATAATTTATAAAACATTAAAAATATAAAGTATTAATAAAATAGAAAATAGAAATTAAAGATTAGATTAAAAACATTTAATTAATCAATAAAAAAAAATTATAGTAAAAAGTAATGAAATAAAGAAATATATAAAGAAAAATATATAAAAAAAATATAATATATAAATTATATAGTATTATAATCAAAATATAAAATATTTAAAAAAATATTTTATTATAATATTAATTATTATTAATATTTAATAATATATAAATATAATAATTATAAAATTATATATTAAATATTTATATATTTTTATATATTTATAATAATATTTTTTTATATATTTTTAATTATTTATTTATTTTAATATATTTTATTTTTGATTATTTATTTAAATACATATTTTATAATTAATAAATAGATATATTTTTTTTTTTTTAAAATTATTTTAATTATTAATTTATAATTTTATATATTTCTATTTTTTTTATATATATGTTAATATCTTCTTTTTTTATTTTTTTTATTTTTAATTTATTTTTTAAAAATAACTTCAATAAATTTTTTTAATTTAACAATATTTTTTTTTTTAATATATAATTTTTGTTTCTATATATTTTAATATATATTATTAAATCCAATCTTTATTTATATATATATATATTTTTTTTTTTTTAAATAAAAAATTATAAATATAATAATTAATTTTTTATACAAATTTAAAATTTTTTGTATATTTTAAAATTAAATTTAATATTAATTTAAAAGTTAATTATAAATGAAAATATTTAATTTAATTAAATAAATATAAATATTATTTTGAAAACTCTTATTTTTACATATTAAATAATTTAATAAAAATTAAAATATAAAAAACTAAAAATTTTATATTTTTAAAAAAATTATGTAATAAATATATAATAAACATAATAACAAAACTAAAAAACAAAATAAATTAATAATTAAAAAAAGCAATAATAAATAAACTTCAAATGGGTCCATATTTGTCTAATCCAATTACAGAAAAAATCACAATAGAAGATGAATAAAATTAATACTTAAAATATTCTTATGCCGAAATGCAAGGTATTTTTTTTTTTAAATAAATAATATAAAATAAATCAAAAAAATTAAAATATAGGTTGGAGAAATACAATGGAAGATTCTCATATATCTAATATAAATATAGGAGAGGATATAGCTTTATTTGGTATATTTGATGGACATGGGGGACATGAAGTAGCAAGATTCGTAGAATTACATTTTATAGAAGAGTTAAAGAAAAACGACAATTTTTTTAAAAAAAATTTCGAACAGGCTTTAAAGGAGACATTTTTAAAAATGGATGAATTAATGTTAAAAAAGGAAGGCTTATCTGAATTATTAAAAATAAAAAGTAATAATAATAATAATAATGCTTACGATGAAAACGATATAAAATAAACTTATGCTGGATGTACTGCAAATGTAGCCTTAATCTATAAAAAATAACAAATCTATGTCGCGAATTCCGGAGATTCGAGGACTGTATTGTGCACAAAAGATAAAAAACCAATAGAATTATCAATTGATCATAAACCAGATAATATAGAGGAAAAAAATAGGATTTAAAAAGCAGGAGGATTCATTTCAGATGGAAGAGTTAATGGAAATTTGAATTTATCAAGGGCTTTAGGAGATTTCGAATATAAAAAAGGAGCTAAATCTCCTGAAGATTTTATCATTTCGGCCTTTCCTGAAGTTAAGATAAAGGAATTAAATTAAGATGATAAATTTGTTTTAATGGGATGTGATGGAATATGGGAATGTATGACTAATTAAGAATTAATGGATTTTTGCTATGAAAGAATATAAAAAGGAATGAAATTAAAAAACATTCTAATTGAATTACTAGATACTATTATTGCAAAAGATACTAGTGGTAAATTAAAAAATATTAAAAATTAAATATAAATATATAAATATATATATAGATGGAGTCGGATGTGATAATATGACAACAATATTAATATAATTAAAATGAAATAAATAAATAAAATTATAATTAATAAATGAAAATATAAATATTCAATATTTATATTATAAATAAAATAAATATTTAATGTATTTATATTGTAGATATATATGTATATATATAAATATATATATATATATATATATATTTATTATATTTATTATATTTTAATTATAATTATTAATAAATAAATATATATAATATTTATTTTATACATATATTTATTTTTTTATATATATTTTTATAAATTATTTGTTTCTTTTTTTTATATATAATTTTATATTTATATATCATCCCCATATTTCCATTTTTATTTTTCCTTATTTTTCCATTTCTTATACTTTTACATTTGCTAAATATGGCATTACACCTTCTTTTTCTTATAAAATTTACGCAATTAGTTCTTTTATGGATTCTCCCATTAATTTACTTCCGCAAACATATAAGTAGCCTTTTTTTTAAATTAATTATTCGTGTAAAATATCTAAATCTTCTTTCATTAAATCTTGCACATATTGTTTTTCTTTACCTTGTTATTGTGAAAATGCGAATCTTTATTTTTCACAAACATGTTCTTTTTAGAAATTTTAAAGTTCTTCTTTATATATGAAGTCTTAATTATCATTTCTACAACCGAAATATAACAAAATCTCTCCAAATATTTAATTTTATTCGTCCTTTTATTCGTAGAATTATTTTTCTTTTAATAAAGCTCTCATTGGGGCTAGTCCGGCTCCTGCAGATACCATCACAATAGGACTTTCTGCACTTTAAGGTACTTAGAAGGTACTTTATTCAAAAAAAGCCCTTACTTTTTTTCCTTTAAAGCCTTCTTTAAGTAAAGAACTAAAGTATTATGAACATTAACCTTCTTCATATTATCCATCGGGTCTTTGAACTTCAAGAACAGAGACCAAGATTTAAAATGAGGAAGGTGATAATTTCTATGAAGAGGAAATTGTGTAATATCTAGGCATAATAATAGGCGAAAGAAGTATAAGATTCAACAAAGGAATTTAAATTTAAAAAGTCTTCACTAGTGATAAAAGGGAATGTTTTTTTTAAATAATATTTTGTTCAAAAAGCACTGTGTTTGATGTCCATTCATCAAAAAGGGCTCTTTGTTTTTCTTCTAAAAGGAAAAATTTTAGGCTTTGTAAAATTGCTCTATTTATAGGACCTTAAAAGTCACAAAATTTTTGTAAAAAAGTCTTTATTTTTATTGGGTTTGGTATTGGGATTTTAACTTGCATATTTTTAGGGTTAATTTTTATTGTTTTTTCTAAATCTAGATTTAATAAAGAGGCGAATTCTTAAATTTTTTCATTTGAATTTTCAGGAAATATAGCTATGTTTCCAGCTGTTTAATATATTTATTTTCCTAAATTAAATTCTATTTCATAACAAGGAGTCGATATCTTAGATTTTTATCTAATTTCTCTTATATTCTATATTTCGAATAATTAACTGTTAAAATATTCCTCGAAAGTATGAGAAAGTTAAGCAATTTATCCAAAACTGAAATTTTCTAAATTAATTTCTTTATCATTTTTAATTTCTTATATTCCAATAGGACAATTATTTTCAGAAAGTTCTTTTCTAGAAATTTCCTAAATTTTAAATTCTCCATTTAAACAATCCCAAAGGTCCTATTTCCAATTTACAAAATCTTAAACTGTACTATCTTTTCCAGCATCCCCTTTTCCGAATTAATATAATAAACGAGCCCCTAATTCTTATAGTTTATTGTTTGTTTTTACAGACATTCCACAAAATTCGTCATACGAAGAATTACCTAATCCGAAAATAGTATATTTCATATCTGAAAGTAATTTTGTGTCTTTTTAATTATTTAGCCAATCAAAAAACTTAGCGGCATCATTTGTAGGACCTCCTTTTCCATATGTGGATAGTAAAAAAATACAATATTTGCTACTTATGAATTGATTTGGTTCAAATTCAGAAAGGTTTATTAAATTGGCTTAATAATGGTTTTTTTCAGCCTCTAAAAGAATGTCATAGGCAAATCTTTGACTTGTACCAGACCTTGTACCATAATATATGGTTAAAAGACCACGTGTTTTTATTTTCTCGTTTAAATGTTTGTCGTTTAGTATATTGTTTTTGTTAGATTTAAAGACTTTTTTATTTATTAGGTTTGTTTGTTTTTTTTTTTTTTTACTTTTTGATATATTTTGTTTCATTTTTAGACGGTATTTTGCTAATAATAATAAAAGACCGAAACTTAATCCAAAAAGAGCGTAATTTTTTTTTGTAAAATTTCTCATTATTGTTTAATATAGTATATTTTATATTTTATTTAGAATTAATAATTAAATTATATCTAAAATATATTATATGTATTAATAAATAAAAAAAATTATTAGTGGTATTATTTCATTTAATCATATAATATTGTATAATATAAAATATATATTTGTTTAATTTAATTTTTTGGTTTAATAAGGCAAATTTAAATAATTTTATATTATATTATTAATATAATAAATAGAAATTATAAAAGGTAAAAAAAATGTTGCTTACTAATGAACATTTAAAATATACTGCTGTCTCAAAAGGAAGTTTGAATGTATTAAATTAAATTTAAGATTAAAAACAAGGCTTATAATAAAATTAAAATAAATCATCTACAACTATTTCAGGTCTAATAGTAAACAATAAAAACTAACTAAAAATAATTGCAAATGACATTGAAGGATAGTTGATGATCGAAAATATATTCGCACTTTAATTAAAAATAGAGAAAATAATATTGACATTATTTCTAATAATATGTAGTTTCGGAATATATGCTTTTTTACTGAGAAACAGTGTCAGACTTAGATTAAAATCTCTATATATTTAAAGTAATTCCTTGAAACAATGTACTCATTTTTTGATTAAAAATAACGATAATACATATGAAATACTGAAAAAATAGAATTTTAAATATAATAATTTCGGATTTGTAAATAGACATTTAAAATATGAATATAATGAAATAAATTAAGGATTTATTCCAGTTTATTATAGAGAGGTGGAAAACTATAATTTGGAAGAGTTATTTTAAAGACACAAAAATGGATTTAAAAATAATTAAGAAGATATTTTAAATAAAAAAGAAAAATATGGATTGTGTAAAATACATATACCGATTCCAACCCTTATAGAATATTTAGTACGTGTATTGACGGAAGTTTTCTTCCTTTTTTAATATATTTCAATTGCCATTTGGATCGTGCAAGGATATGTTATGTTCGCGATTATCATTATTTTCACTTCATTGATTACTGCGATAGTTAATTATGTAATCTTGAGGTTATCGTTGACTAAATTGAGAAAATTTGCAGATATTTCAATTAAAATAGATGTTTATAGGAATGGTAAGTAAATTGTTTTAGACTCTAAAGAATT